AGAAAATATAAGCATTAAGGTCGGGTGAATGTGCCTGCTAAATACCAGTGCTGATTTTTCAGACAAAGCTTGCATAGACATACATGCAATGTGGGCAGTAGCTGAGTCTTGCTGACACCAGTCATAGAGTCTTTCTTCTTTTGTAACTCTTGAAAGAATTGTCTGAGAATGACCTGTACATATTTTTCACAATTTTTCTGTTAAAAAATGCAGGTAGTGCATCCTTGTTGCCCTTACAGCATGCCAGACTCCAGCTTTCACTGGATCTAGCCATACTTCCTGGGTTAGATGTGGATTCAGTGAATTCCAGTAGTGATTATTTTTCATATTTATGTATCCCTGCAAGTGAACCCATGCTTCATCAGAAAAGAATGCCAACTGTGGATCAATCTCATCTTCAATGATACACTGTAGAAACCAACTGCAAAAATGAATTTAGAATGTTGTTTATTAATCCTGATAGCATTTATATTTATATTTGCACAGCACATTTTGCAAGCTCGATATACATTTGGCACAATGGACCGGGCCATGAAATTATTATATACAAAGGAAGGACCCAAACTCAACACATTAGAAAGATGTTATTTATATATATATATATATGAGACATAATGAAGAAAGGTCTACAGATGAATGATACATTTACATAAGTATATAATCCCATTTTTTTTTTTTTGAATTGCTTCATTTTTGGTCCGTTACACTATCAATCACAAAGTCAATAGAAAGTCCGCCGAGTGTAACAATGTTTTTTTTCATGTCACTTCTTTATCACATTTGCCTTACATGTTTCGGTTTAATAAAACCATCATCAGAGGCTCATATTACAAACACATGAAAACACTGGCGTTGTTTAAATGTACACAGTATATATGCTGCATGGACGCTGCTACAAATGTCGATGTGTAAAAGCACAACACTTGAATGCACGTTCAACTCTCGCATTCCATCCGAAATTGCCCTCAAATTAAACCGTCAATGTTAAAATATTAAAAGTTTAAAACATTTGAAGCCTAACATTTTACATTTCAAGTAATCTTGCGTGGCAACCTAGGAGATGACTCATATGGATTTGCTCATTGTATCAGGGTGGACATGACTATTGAACTGACTCTGTTATTCATCTTTTTGAGGCCTTTTATTGTCACTTGTAGGGGGGTTTTGCCGGGCCACATTCAGCCTTTCTTAGTATCATTTTTTAGCTCAGCCTTTATTGTTATTTAATTTATGGGGCCTATCCACTATTAATTAGATGCCTGTCCAGCCTTACAAATGCATAATTTTATATAATTTGAAATTTGTTAAACAGTGGCAGTGCAGCTTAATGTCTGTTGACTCAGAAACCTCCATACATGCTGATGGACTCAGGCACACACCACTCAGGGGGGTGTGTCTCTGTCCCTCCCTCCCCTCTGTCACCACTCTCACACCTACTGATTTAACACATCACTGTATTGGGGCTTCAAACTTATTTCTCTTCCTGTTAGGATTTTTCATGTTATTTACTCTAATTTTCCAGGATAATTTGAATGAACTTCAACCTGTATATAGTGAGGAGCGACGATATTCCTGTGATGAGTGTGGAGATTCATTCAGTCAAGAGTAAATTCTGATAGCACTTCGACACACACATAGTGGGGAGAAGCCATTTTGCTGTGATGTATGTAATAAGTCATTTAGTCAGCAGTGTAGTCTGAAGACACATCAGCACATACACAGTGGGGAAAATCCATTTTGCTGTGATGTATGTAATAAGTCATTCAGCTGGCGGAGTCTTCTGAAGACACATCATTGCATACATAGTGGAGAGAAGCCATATTGCTGTGATGTATGTAAAAAGTAATTTATTTCAAAGAGTGATGTGAAGAAGCATGTACATATACATAATGGGGAGAAGCTATTTTGTTGTGATGTATATAATAAGTCATTCATTTTGAAGAACCATCTGAAGACACATCAGCACGTACATTGTGGGGAGAAGCCGTTTTGTTCTGATGTATGTAATATGTCATTCAGTGTGAAGAGTAATCTAAAAACACATCAACGCATACATAGTGGGGAGAAGCCATTTTGCTGTGATGTATGTGAAAGTCATTCTGTCATCAGAGTAATCTGAAGAGACATCAGCGCATACATGTTGATGTGTAGTAAATCATAGAGCAGTAGAGATGGATGTAGACTAAAAGAACAGTATGTGTCTTGTAGCAAACCACAGTTTTTCATGTTGTAAGTAAAGCAGTTTTGCTGTGTGTGGCATGCTTCAGTTTTGTAGGATGCTACAATATAGTGGAGTTAATTGTTGTTGCTAACCTTTCTAACTGATGGGATATGAACCTAATCCCATGGTACAAAACATCTGTGCAAATGAGTTCCATCTGATTCTGACTACTGAATGTGCACAATGCCCTGTCTTGTTGAATGGAAACAGACATGACATGACATGACATGACATTATACTACAGTAATGATGTTAATTTAGCACTGGAAGCTAATGATTAGTAGAGTGTAGTGACTGAAATGGATCGACAGCTTATATATATAATTCAGCAGCATCATATGCCTTTTGCTATAAGTTATCTATGCTCTTCTGCAATTTCATGTGAGTAAATTTGTTGAGCAGTTAGTTTCAGATTGATATATCGCTTGGATTAAGTATATTGAGGTAAGTATTATGGATTGGTCAGATGAATACAAACTACGCTATACTGGACATTACAGACGAGATATCTGTTTGCGGGATACTTGGTATATTGATTACAAAAAGAAAGTTAAATAAAGGTGGGCTGATTCTACTTGTGGAGAAATGAAGGAGTACAGAGAATTTAATTGAAAGGATTATGAAAGACTTGCTTACATCTTTTCACTGTGAGTATCAGCAGAGAAACTGAGTGGTCTGTCATGAGGTCAGAAAAGAAAGTGGTCTGGCACTGAGGCACCCCTTTTTGCTTTAGGTCTCCTGAAAATTGTGAACTAAGTTTCAGTGTAATTATATAATTCTTTAATAAAATTAGGCAATGTCATTGATATTATTAATTGCAATTCAGAGGTTTCATGTGGTGGAATGGCACATTTGTCTTTAATTCAGTGCAGTTATGCCCCTCCCTCCGTACCCATTTTCTTCACTGCCTGAATGAACTGCATCATAACTAAAGCTAATTCTTGGTCACTCTGAGCAAGTGATCTCTGATTACTGACACTTTTCTTGCCAAGGAACACTTGCTTCATTTTGCATAAGATGTACCATGCATTCATCCCTCAATAACTGCATCAGCAGAGCTCTTCCTCATGTGTCACCACACGTTGGCTGTTGCTGCATCACCAGAACTGATCCTGCTCCATTGTCCTGCAATATGTGTTCCATTTTGTGTGTCTTCAGCATATAAAGTAGTGGGCAGCTCACGAATGGATTTGCAAGTTGCAGTTGTCCTCAGATAAGTGTGAAGG